CATCATCATCATCATCATCATCATCATCATCATCATCATCATCATCATCATCATCATCATCATCATCATCATCACCAAACAAGAGCAAAAATAAAGAAATAATCATTGATAAACTTTGAAAAAACTCGAAGATGCATTCATTAGGTCAGGTGGATTGTTTTTTTTTAAAAAAAAGAAAAAAAGATAATCAGAAATAAAAAAGCAAAATCTTTTGAAAAAATTGTTAAAAGATAGTAGAGTGTGATCAGGAAGAAATTGATGAACTAGAAATGAAACACAAACACATAAAATTAAATTATTTTTTTCCTTGCATTCATTTTTTATTTCTTGTAGATTAGTAGATTAGTAGATTAGTAGATTAGGCACAATGTAAATCCATTATTGAAAATTTTGACAAATAAAAAATTTTTCACATGATGAAAAATGATTGGATATCTCGCTTATATGATAAGCAACTCCTATATGTATTTATCACATTGTCTTTTCTTTATTTTTTGACATGCAAACTTTGTAAAGATGGTTAATGCAAAATTAGAAGCATAACGTAAAACTATTTACATTTTTGGATGAATGGCATCCATTCACCAAGAGAAATACATGAAAAATCAGAAATACCATTCAGAAAAACCTAAAAAGTTAAAAGAAACAGGCACTATTGAACATAAAGGTGGCAATGGTCATCCATCCAAGGTCACATGAACATTTCCATGTTCTATTGGGCAAGTTATTCACCACAATAATGCTGCTTCAACATGACAACTTGCAGTAAAACTTCGAGAAACACATATGCATCAATTTCACATCATACTGTATGGAGACATATTAAAAAAAATTATAAGAGTTCTGTACCCATTGGAACACCAATGTTAACAGCCTGCCATATTGAAACAAGAATGGCATGGGCACAATTTCATATGAATGATGATTGGAGTCGTACAATTTTTACCAATGAAACAGCTTTTGACTTGTTTCATAATAAAATTCGCAGGTGGCATAAAGACCAATTCAGAGATTGCCAAAAGAGTGTCAAAAAGTAGTGGCATTTCGTTAAAAGGCAAAATGTCATTATTTTGCTTTACTGATATTATGGATGGACCTTATTATGTTAACATATTGGAAACCCAGCTTTTACCTGCTGCACAAAGATTATATGGTAGAAACTGGTGTTTACAACAGGATAATGATCCAAAGCACACATCATGTGTTGCAAAAACTTTTATTTATGAAAAAAGAATTCATACAATAGACTGGCCATCCAATAGTCCTGACCTTAATCTCATTGAGAACATGTGGTATATCATGAAAAATAATGTCGTAAAAAGAATGCCAAAAAATGTTGATGAATTGAAGAGATTTATGGTTGAGGAGTGGGAGAAAATTCTAAAGGAAATAGTTAAAAATATTATTATGTCTATGAAACGGAGATAGAATTTCTTATTAATTTTTTTTTGTTTAATAAAGTATTCAATAGGCTTTTAAATGAACCTAATTTTATTTGTTTATCTTGCATAATTGTTAAGATATGCAATTTTTTGTGCGCGCCCTTTTTTTTTGAGACACGCTGTATGTGTGTTTATGTATAAATAACGTGTGAAATTAATATTTTTACTAATTAGCAATTAATAAAAGTTTGTTTATTTATTTAACAAAATGGACTTTTGTGATACTGCCACACAGTTATTTATCAAGAAAAGTATGCACACATCCCTTGAATATAAGAAATCAATTCTTTGATAAACAAGCCATTTTGGAATTAATGAAGGTAGAGCCTTTAGAAAACAATTTCCACTCCAAAACGCTTTCTCATTGACTGTTCATAAGACACAAGGTCCTTACCTCATGTGACCATCTCTATCAATGAAAATGCTGAAGGGTAGCATTAAATAGAGCAAGTTCCTTAGAAAATTTACGCATCATGAAATTTGATTTTTCTTGGATAAAATGTTCGCAAGAAGTCCTGTTAGAATATGAGAGATTATAGAAATTTAATCATGATGGATTGAAAACATTAATGTGAAATGTTTATTATTGAATTTTAACAAATAATAAAATGTGATTAATTTCCTTTTGTATAAATAAATTCCAAGTCATGTGCTCATTAATTTATCATTGGTCGAAATTATGCATAAGAAACTCTAAAATCAGTAAAAATTCGACAATTGAAGCAATCAAAAAAGCAGAAAATGAATATAGAGAGGTGAAGGAGAAGTTGAAGAAGTTGGAGGAGGGAAAAAAGCAGGAGAGATTAGACAAGTTAGGGGAGATGTTGATGAAGGAGTATTAGATAATGAAGAGAGGGAAGAGGCTGGAAGAATGGAGAAATGAGTTGAAGAAAGAGAAGGAAAAGTTGGAAGTGGAAAAGGAGCAGTCAAGGTTGAGGAGAGATAATTGGGATGAGTTACTACGAAAAAAATTAGATGAAGGAACAGGCAATGAACAAATTGCATAAAAAATATACAAAAATTTATTTTCCATTTATTCCATTTTGTTTGTTTATTTATTATTATTCATTTGAGAGAGTATTGATATACTTGTTTGTTTTAATAGAAAAAAAAAAATACACACATTTATTTACTAGACAATCCTGACCTATAATCAAAAAATAAATGGCCCTACTTTATTGCGATCACCCCTTATAATGCATTTTTGTACATATTGGTCCAATTTAATGATTGGCCAAGCAAAAAACAGTCTTTACAAAAACCATAAGGAGCAATGTCCGAATTTTTATCTACAGTAGTAATACAGCTCGATTAATCCAAACTATCCGAACTATTCATTTGTATCACGAATAGTGATGCTAGCTGGCTAAAAAAAATTTTCTCTTGGCATTTATTTTTATGTCTGGAATTTTAGTGTAGAATTCAGTGGCATAGACATTTAGTTGGGATTGGTCCACCTGCATTACTTAGAATGACAAAAAAATAAATTTGCTCAAAAACAAAAATACAATACATTGTAGCAGGATAAAAGTCATAGAGTTTCTATTTGTAATGTAAATCCTTATTTAATTCGAATTATTCCTTTTATTCGAATAAACTTTCAATGTAATTCGAATACTCAACTTCATAACGAATAAAACAAATAATTTGAAAAAACCTTATTCGAAATATTAAAGGCGAGGTATTATAATAATAATAATAAATAATAGTTAATAATAATTATAGCAATAATAACGATAGTAGTAGCAATAATAATACCGGAAAGCTTAGCACCATCTGAAAAGTTTTTTCATCAACTGGGGTCTATTTAAGTTCTTAATTGGCTAAGGTTTTCTACTGGCTAAGCTGTTTAAAAATTCCTTGGCCGGCTAAGCTGATAAATTTCTTAGCCGAGTAACGTCACTAATTACGAATAGAAACTCTAGCCCAGTTCAATAATAATAAAGATTTTAAACGCTTTGCATTTTGTTTTAATTCTCTACAAATGTCTGAGCAACATTGTGAAATTTTTATACAGTCGTTTCAATGAATTATAATTAAATTCGCATTACTATGAATTTTTAAAAACATAAAATTCATTGAAACGTGATTAGTAATTTTGGTATAATGAATTTAAATGTAATTTTCTGATGTTGACTGTATGCATATATTCCAGAACCTAAAAGACATTTTTTTATTAGAAACAGATATTAAAACACAGATCGATCTCATTTAAAATTTTCAGAATTTGTTAGTCTGCATATAATGTTTTAATGCTCTAAAATTCAAGCATGTTATACAATTTATTAGTTTATTATTGTGTAAGAATTACTTTCTTAACGAGAATAAATCAATATTATAACACGAACAGGTACTTTAATTGTTGTAAAAATACAAGTTAATCTTTATTATCTTAATATGATGTCCTTTATATATAAAATTACATAGATTGATAAAATATAAATAATAATATAAGATTGATAAAATATAAATAAAATATAAATAATAATAGTCATAAGATTCTTATCAATCTATCCGGAAGATTTGTGGACATAGATAAGTAATAAATAATAAATAATAATTAAAGACACGAAATAATTGATACAAATAATAATAATAATGTGTCACGTTTCTAATGTAAATATTTATGTACCACCCAGATGTTACACATGACTTCGGAGTAAATTGTTACATATTGCTTCAATTATTTCAGTGGTCTACAAAATCATGATTTTATAAAAACATAATATTAAATCTTGAACTCGAATATTTGAGTCGAACCGAGCTCGAGCTAAACATAAACTCGGCTTGGCTCGTTCGGAGCTTTAGTAAATAGTATTAGTAACAAAATTTAATTTTACATAAATCGCTACCAGGAAAGTATCCAATCAACCAGTCACACAACCAATATATAACACAATCCCAACTGAATTATGCTATATAGATGTGTTGTCAAAGTTAATTTAGCTTCGACTCAATTCCCAAGATGTCAATTTTTAATTGCGTCTGACTCATGTTTTTAATATGACTCAATTAATTGCGGCTATAGTTAACCTAATACTAATTTTGGCTAACTAAACTATATACCTATCATAAAGCTTGAACATCAATTTTTATTTGAGGCGATTGGTTTAATTTATTTATTTTTAATCATTTTCTTTATAGTAATTGTGTTTGCTTTTTAAATGCATGATTTTTTCCAGTCCATAGTACTAGTAACAGGTAATTGGTCTTTTATAGATTCCATATCTGTTTTATTAATATTTTTGTTGAATTGAGAATTTTTGCCCTGAGGTCTCTTTAGATTAGAGGATTCACCAGAATCTATTAGTTCACAATTATTATCATCTGAATGTTATCTCCACTTGAAGAATAAAGAATATACATAAATCTCTATATGATGAAACATTTTATTTGGCACACTTGTGTTCATGATATCAAGGTTTTGGTATACACATATACTGAATTTATTAGTAAGAATCAATCAACAAATTTCGTTATACATATGTAGCAAGGTTTTGGTTCCCACGTATACTGAATTTATCAGCAAGCAATTTTCATTATTGAATATAATTATTTATTGAAAATAAAAAATATAGGTTTAAAATCATTGGTAAACATGTATTGAATTCGACTATTCTGTGCTTTACTTTTACATGTTCTAAGAATTCCACAAAACTCCATATTCATCATCTTGTTGCTTCAAAAATAAAAGTGTGTTTCCAAAAATTTTAGTAACTCAATATCTAATACTCATCAGAACCTGATAAATTATTTACTTCAGCTGTCTTCCTTTTCATTTTAATTAAAAAAATATTTTTATTTAATGCCATTATATTATAAATCACCAATTATATCAAAGAATTCATTTTGTGATCACATGTTTCAGCATAATGAGGTAAGAATAAGAATAAGACGGTATTTGTAACGAATTCCAGTATTAGTATTATAGTCATGTGATATTTCCCTGTGGCTGCTTTTCTATATGTGAAAATAAATTCGAAATTCGTGTCACATGAAGTTTTTTTAAAATATCTTGTTATTTTTATAATAAACTCGAAATTCGTTGTTAG